TGCTTAGATTTCTTTTTGAACACAAATGTTGGATTTTTTCTTATGTAAGTCAGACTTAAGAATTTAGTGAGAAGTCCCCCAGGTTCCCACNCTCTTTAATAATAGGAATAATAAAACTGTATAGGGATATCAGGGACAGTCATGACAATTCTGGAAAATTGTCAAAATGACCTGGAAAAATGATATTTCATACCGGCCTCTAATTTTATTGATCTATTTTAGTTAGTAAATAAAAATATCATGATCAAGAATATTTTAAGTTACCTGTTCCGTCTTTATTCTTATTAAATTAGTCATGGAAAATGATAAAATGTGCTCTGTATGATTCCTGGATATCACCTCTTGAAATAAACGAAACATTGTTCTTAATCTTGGCCAATAAGTGTACAAATATATTCGGCCTTGGTGGTTCTTTCCATCCATGATTTTTGTGAAATTGGTCATGGAAAATGATAAAATATTGTCTGGAAAGTCATGCAAATGTCAAGGAAATTTGCTCAGATGATCTGTATGAACTCTGTTGTCAGAAATGTTTGATTCTAGTAAGTATATGATTATAAACATTTGAGGAAACTACCAAACCGTTTAGTTGTTTGGTTGCTTTTCTGTCATCTAATGCTTATTTCCTTTTACATAGGGACAAAAGGAAGGATCCTTACCTGTAATAAAAAAAAAGCAGGTTGACCCCAATATGCAAGTTCAGGTGTATACAAGAGGTAATTTTTACACGCCCACATGAAATGGGGGGCGTATATTGCCGTCACCATCCCCATCCGTCGGTCCGTCCGTCCACAATTGCTCGTAAACACTCTACAAAACACAATTCGGATTTTGACGAAACTTGGTGTGAGTGTTAGTAATCACCACGGATGAAAATCAGAAGAATCGAAAAATATTTAGTATGAGTTATTGCCATTGTTCTTGAAAACGCGTTCAATTTTTAGCTTGTAAACACTCTAGAAGGAACAATTCTTGACGGAATTTGACGAAACGTGGCATGATTGTTTGTTATCACCCAAGAATACACCCTATTGAAAATCATTTGTATTCATGAGATCTTAGACAAGTTCAAATTTGACGATTTTCCGATGAATAGGTTACGAGTATTCGCCCTTGACTTAGTCAAAACGCATCACAATTGGCTTGTGAACGCGATAGAGACTACAGTTTTCATCTGATTTGAATAAAATCTGGTTTGATTATTTGTATTGTTAAGATCTTGGACAAGTTGGAATTTCACGAGTCTGAAA